CGTCACACTCGTCATCATACTCAGCGTCACACTCGTCATCACACTCAGCGTCACACTCGTCATCACACTCAGCGTCACACTCGTCATCACACTCAGCATCACACTCATCATCATACTCAGCGTCACACTCGTCATCATACTCAGCGTCACACTCGTCATCACACTCAGCATCACACTCGTCATCACACTCAGCGTCACACTCATCATCATACTCAGCGTCACACTCATCATCATACTCAGCGTCACACTCATCATCATACTCAGCGTCACACTCGTCATCATACTCAGCGTCACACTCGTCATCATACTCAGCGTCACACTCGTCATCACACTCAGCGTCACACTCATCATCATACTCAGCATCACACTCGTCATCATACTCAGCGTCACACTCGTCATCACACTCAGCGTCACACTCGTCATCATACTCAGCGTCACACTCATCATCATACTCAGCATCACACTCATCATCACACTCAGCGTCACACTCGTCATCATACTCAGCGTCACACTCGTCATCATACTCAGCGTCACACTCATCATCATACTCAGCTGCTGTGCCTGCTTAGTGTGCTGTGTCTCTATGTGTGTGTCTCTCTATGTGTCTCTGTCTCTGTGTGTCTCTGTGTGTGTCTGTGTGTGTGTGTCTGTGTGTGTGTCTGTGTGTGCGTGTGTGTGTCTGTGTGTGTGTGTGTCTGTGTGTGTGTGTCTGTGCGTGTCTGTGTGTGTGTCTATGTGTGTGTCTGTGTGTGTGTCTGTGTGTGTGTCTGTGTGTGTGTATGTGCGTGTGGGTGTCTGTGTGTGTGTTTGTGTGTGTGTGTCTAAGTGTGTGTCTGTGCGTGTGTGTGTCTGTGTGTGTCTGTGTGTGTGTCTGTGTGTGTGTCTGTGTGTGTGTCTGTGTGTGTCTGTGCGTGTGTGTGTCTGTGTGTGTGTCTGTGTGTGTGTCTGTGTGTGTGTCTGTGTGTGTGTCTGTGTGTGTGTGTGTCTGTGTGTGTGTCTGTGTGTGTGTCTGTGTGTGTGTGTCTGTGTGTGTGTCTGTGTGTGTGTCTGTGTGTGTCTGTGTGTGTGTCTGTGTGTGTGTCTGTGTGTGTGTCTGTATGTGTGTGTCTGTGTGTGTGTGTCTGTGTGTGTGTGTCTGTCTTTGGGCTCGCCTTCCCATCAACCGGAGGCGAGGAATGGTGGTCGTGGTTACTTATGCCCCCACCGAAGATGAACATCCGTGGAGGGATGCAGGTAAAGCCGATGAGTCAGATGCCTTCTATGACCTCCTGTCACAGGTGCTGGCTAAAGTGGCCCCTCGGGATAGAGTCATCATGTTGGGTGACTTCAATGCCCGAGTTGGTCATGATACTGGCACCTGGTCTGGAGTGATTGGAGGGCATGGGCCAGATCAGCTCAATAACAACGGTAGGAGGCTGCTAGATTTTTGTGCAGCCCATGGGCTTGTAATTACCAACACGCTGTTCCGGCATCGGCGCATCCACACAACATCATGGATGCATGCCGGGTCCAAGCAAGAAAATCTGCTGGACTACATAGTGACGGACCAGCGAATGCGAGCCCATGTCCTTGACACCAGGACCTACCGTGGAGCTGATCTGCCCTCTGACCATCGACTAGTCATCTGTAAGATGCGCCTGCCATTCTTCCACTCCGGTGGTGGGTGTACACCCAGGACCCCATTCCAACCTAAAGTGGCCTGGTCTCAGTTATCTGATGAAAGTTGCAAGCGAGAATTTCATCATCGCTTGCGGCTGGGATTGGCATCGTCCCCGACTCCTCCTGATGTCGAGGGTAAATGGGCGAGGTTTAGGACTGTGACTCATGCAGCTGCAATGGCTGCATTGGGTACGCGGTCCAGACCTCCCCAGACACCCTGGCTGACAGAGGAGTTGTTCAGGATGGTTGATAAAAAGCGACAGGCCAACTGTCATCGGCTACAGAATCTCACGTCAGAGAATGAGGAGGCTTACCGCAGCCTTCGCTCGGAGGTTCGGAGAGCCGTGAGGCGCTGCAAGGATGGGTGGTGGTCGCGGGTTGCTGAGGAGATGGAGTCTGCCTCAGTGGCCCGTGATCACAAATCTCTATTTAACTCCATCAAAAAAGTAACCTGCAGCGCCACACCTATTACCATCATTAGGGGAAAAAACGGTGATACAATTTCCGACCCCCAGGAACAGGTTCACAGATTTGCTGAGCATTTCTGTGAGGTCCTGGGGGAGGGAAAATCCCTCAGCCAGGAAAACATCGTGGCACAAAGTGAGGATGACCCTGCTGAGGCTGCGGTGCCTCAAATATTGGATGAAGTCACCCCCTGTGAGTGGCTGGCTGAGGTTCCATCTGCTGAGGAAGTATTGAAGGCGATCCGGAGTCTGAGACCAGGAAAGGCAGCGGGCAGAGATGATCTCCCAAGCGAAATGCTGAGGGAGGGTGGCGTTTGTGCACAGACTGCCCTATATGACATCATAACAACAGTCTGGACCACTGGACGGGTTCCGCAGGATTTGAAGGATGCCCTGGTGGTCCCCCTTTTTAAGGGGGACCGCACAGACTGTAACAACTACAGGGGCATCTCACTCCTCAGTGTGCCGGGAAAGGTCCTGGCAAGGATTATTCAGCATCGCCTTGCCAGGCACGCTGAGGAGAGGCTTGCGGAGCCCCAATGCGGTTTCAGGAAAGGGCGGTCCTGCACAGATGCCATATTTTCTGTCCGTCTGCTACAGCAGAGGTGTAGGGAATTCCAACAAGACCTACATCTCTGCTTTATTGACCTGGTCAAGGCCTATGATACCATCAGTAGGCCTGGGCTCTGGGTCGTTCTTCGTGCTTTTGGAGTACCTGACCCTCTGCTCACGATCATTAAGGACCTTCATGATGGTGAGCGGGCCCGGGTAAAACTACGTGGCCGGGAGTCAGAGCCATTCCCTGTACACCTTGGGGTGCGACAGGGATGTCCTCTGGCTCCCACATTATTTAACATCTATTTTGACCACGTAGTTTGTGAAGCCTTCAATAGCTGTACCGGGGGAATCTCCATATGGTACAGATATAATGGGAGGCTAATCGATGTCCGGGTGTGGTCAAGGGATGGCTCCCTATTGCTCAACCACGTTATGTATGCTGATGATTTGGTAATAGCTGCTCAGTCAGAGGAGGAGTTGGAGACGCTGCTGCTGAGACTGGAGCGTGCCACTAAGAGGTGGGGCCTTACCATCAGCCCCACCAAAACTAAGCACCTGCCTGGGTATTTTGTACCATCGGACAATCCACCCCCACAATCGGTGATGGGGCAGTTGTGGAGAGAGTGGAGAGTTTCCCATACCTGGGCAGTGTGCTTATGACTGGCTCCAGTTTAACAGCAGAGGTCTCACTCCGAATCAGTCGAGCGGCAATATCTTTTCATCGGTTGCGTAATGCTGTGTGGAAGCTACCTGGTCTGTCGCTCCGCACTAAGCTTCAGGTCTTCTCGGCCACGGTCATTCCCTCCCTTCTCTACGCTTGCGAAACGTGGACCCCCCTGGTGGAACATCTTCGCCGGTTAGAAACATTTAGGCTGGCCTGCCTACGATCCATCCTGGGTTTAACCAGACTGGATTGTGTGAGGAGCTCACAAATCCTTGAAAGATCTGGGCAGGGTCCCATCGGTGAGCTCCTCCGGCAGGCAAGGCTGCGATGGCTGGGTCATGTAGCCCGCATGCCCAGCCACCGCATGCCGAAACAGCTTTTGTTTGGCCGGATTGAGGGGGCTAAGCGGGCGCGGCACGGGCTAGAGAAGAGATGGAGTGATGTGGTACAGGAGGACGTGGAGCTGAGTGGACTTGCCGATGACTGGTACCAGCGGTGTCAAGATCGGCCTCTGTGGAGGAGGCTCGTGAAGGATGCTACTGGGCAGTTGGAGGCAGTCGCCCTCCAACAACAACGGAGGGCGGAGGAGCGACGCTCACAACAACGAGCGGAACGCCGGGTGGCTAAAGCACAGCAGGTTGGCACAGTAGGGGGCACAGGTGGTGCATCAGCCAGTCATCTCAGTCAGTCGACCCGTGGCACCTGGGTCTGCCCAGTGACCTCCTGCCAGCGGGCGTTCGACACTTCACGTGGCCTCACGGTGCACATAGCCTGACACAAGCGTCGTGGTGACGTCACCGCCACTTAGTGGCGAATGGCGGTTGTTGTTGTTGTGTCTGTGTGTGTCTGTGTGTGTGTCTGTGTGTGTCTGTGTGTGTGTGTGTGTCTGTGTGTCTGTGTGTGTGTCTGTGTGTGTCTGTGTGTGTGTCTGTGCGTGTCTGTGTGTGTGTCTGTGTGTGTGTCTGTCTGTGTGTGTCTGTGTGTGTCTGTGTGTGTCTGTGTGTGTGTGTGTGTGTCTGTGTCTGTGTGTCTGTGTGTCTGTGTGTGTCTGTGCGCGTGTGTCTGTGTGTATCTGTGCGCGTGTGTCTGTGTGTATCTGTGCGTGTGTCTGTGTGTGTGTGTCTGTGTGTGTGTGGGGCCTTCATAGGTGCACGCTAACAGCACTTGCTCCTACAGTCTGTTAAGGCTATATGGGGGATCTTTGTATATTTGTGTCTGTGTGTGTCTGTGTGTGTCTGTGTGTGTGTCTCTTTGTGTGTCTGTGTGTGTGTCTGTGTGTGTGTCTGTGTGTGTCTGTGTGTGTGTCTCTTTGTGTGTCTGTGTGTCTGTGTGTGTGTCTGTGTGTGTGTATCTCTGTGTGTGTGTCTGTGTGTGTCTGTGTGTGTGTGTCTGTGTGTGTGTGTCTGTGTGTGTGTATCTCTGTGTGTGTCTGTGTGTGTGTGTGTGTGTGTCTGTGTGTCTGTGTGTCTGTGTGTGTCTGTGTGTGTGTATCTCTGTGTGTGTGTCTTTGTGTGTCTGTGTGTCTGTGTGTGTCTGTGTGTGTGTCTGTGTGTGTGTCTGTGTCTGTGTGTGTCTGTGTGTGTGTATCTCTGTGTGTGTGTCTGTGTGTGTGTATCTCTGTGTGTGTGTCTGTGTGTTTCTGCGTGTGTCACCAGGTTGTCTACGTCACAGCGACGCTGCCCTACCTCTTCCTCGTGGTTCTGCTCATCCGAGGTGCCTCTCTTCCCGGAGCTGTCGATGGCATCGAAGCTTACCTCAGCGTCGACCTCTCACGCCTGCGTGAGCCCGCTGTAGGTTCATTCTGACACTTTTGTGGCGTTTGTGAAGACGAGTACACTGCTTTAGGAGGCACACATTGTGATCCCTTCTTCATGCAGTCCTTAACACACAGAGGGGTACACGGTCCCCTCACCCAATACCCTAAGGAGGCACAGCCTTCGGACTCAGCGTGACCTACACACAGGTCTCTTGATACCTCCAGGCTTAGCGTGACCTACACACAGGTCTCTTGATACCTAAGGAGGTACTTAGCATGACCTACACACAGGTCTCTTGATACCTAAGGAGGTACCACCTCTGGACTTAGCGTGACCTACACACAGGTCTCTTGATACCTAAGGAGGCACAGCCTTCAGACTTAGCGTGACCTACACACAGGTCTCTTGATACCTAAGGAGGTACTTAGTGTGACCTACACACAGGTCTCTTGATACCTAAGGAGGTACTTAGCGTGACCTACACACAGGTCTCTTGATACCTATGGAGGTACTTAGCATGACCTACACACAGGTCTCTTGATACCTAAGGAGGTACTTAGCGTGACCTACACACAGGTCTCTTGATACCTAAGGAGGTACTGCCTCCAGACTTAGCGGGACCTACACACAGGTCTCTTGATACCTAAGGAGGTACTTAGCGTGACCTACACACAGGTCAACTTGATACCTAAGGAGGTACTTAGCGTGACCTACACACAGGTCTCTTGATACCTAAGGGGGTACTTAGCGTGACCTACACACAAGTCTCTTGATACCTAAGGAGGCACAGCCTTCAGACTTAGCGTGACCTACACACAGGTCTCTTGATACCTAAGAAGGTACCACCTCTGGACTTAGCGTGACCTACACACAGGTCTCTTGATACCTAAGGGGGTACTTAGCGTGACCTACACACAGGTCTCTTGATACCTAAGAAGGTACTTAGCGTGACCTACACACAGATCTCTTGATACCTAAGGGGGTACTTAGCGTGACCTACACACAAGTCTCTTGATACCTAAGGAGGCACAGCCTTCAGACTTAGCGTGACCTACACACTGGTCTCTTGATACCTAAGAAGGTACCACCTCTGGACTTAGCGTGACCTACACACAGGTCTCTTGATACCTAAGGAGGTACTTAGCGTGACCTACACACAGGTCTCTTGATACCTAAGGAGGTACTTAGCGTGACCTACACACAGGTCTCATGATACCTAAGGAGGTACTTAGCGTGACCTACACACAGGTCTCTAGATACCTAAGGAGGTACTTAGCGGGACCTACACACAGGTCTCATGATACCTAAGGAGGTACTTAGCGTGACCTACACACAGGTCTCTTGATACCTAAGGAGGTACTTAGCGGGACCTACACACAGGTCTCTTGATACCTAAGGAGGGACTTAGCGTGACCTACACACAGGTCTCATGATACCTAAGGAGGTACTTAGCGTGACCTACACACAGGTCTCATGATACCTAAGGAGGTACTTAGCGTGACCTACACACAGGTCTCTAGATACCTAAGGAGGTACTTAGCGGGACCTACACACAGGTCTCATGATACCTAAGGAGGTACTTAGCGTGACCTACACACAGGTCTCTTGATACCTAAGGAGGTACTTAGCGTGACCTACACACAGGTCTCATGATACCTAAGGAGGTACTTAGTGTGACCTACACACAGGTCTCTTGATACCTAAGGAGGTACTTAGCGTGACCTACACACAGGTTTCTTGATACCTAAGGAGGTACTTAGCGTGACCTACACACAGGTCTCTTGATACCTAAGGAGGTACTTAGCGTGACCTACACACAGGTCTCATGATACCTAAGGAGGTACTTAGTGTGACCTACACACAGGTCTCTTGATACCTAAGGAGGTACTTAGTGTGACCTACACACAGGTCTCTTGATACCTAAGGAGGTACTTAGCGTGACCTACACACAGGTCTCTTGATACCTAAGGAGGTACTTAGCGTGACCTACACACAGGTCTCGTGATACCTAAGGAGGTACAGCCTCCTATCTTGGCGGGACTCACACGTCTACCGCTATCCCAGAGTCCTCCGGCTGGGACCTAGGGGAGGCTGTCTGACCCACCGCTGGCCCGGTGGGTCCTGACCACTGGGCACTCCGCGAGCCTTAGCCCTGAGAAGGGCTGGCAGGCCGGGTCCAGGGTCCTGGCTGTCTTCAGCCCGGGCTTCGGTCTTCGTGTAGGGCGAGAACTCCCCCCCCCGAGCTCTGCGTTGGTCACCCCTCTTATACTCACTCGTGGCCAGGTACAACCAATCACACACTCACACGTGGAACCGTCTGATTGGTTCTCCCCAAACCGTGGCTGCGATCCACTTCACCTCGTCTGACCCCAGCCGTGACGTACCCCGAGCTAACGCTGCACTGCCCCCTTGAGACCCGGTGGCAATGGAGGCTACCGAACGGGGCGTGGTTAACACCTCTACATCACTACTGCTAGTGATACTACTACTACTGCTGCTGATAATAATTACTACTGATGCGACTGATACTACTACTGATACTACTATAAGTCGTAGTACTCCTACTGATACCACGACTACTGTTAGAGGCTACACGGGGGATCTTTATACGTGTATCTATATGTGTGACTTGCTAACAGCACTTGCCCCTACAGCCTGCTAGAGGCTACACGGTTGGCGTTTGGAACGTTTGTCTTTTTGGGGTTGGTGGTGCAGGTGTGGATCGACGCGGCCACCCAGATCTGCTACTCCTTGGGTGTCGGCTTCGGGGTCCTCATCGCCTTCGCCAGCTACAACAAACCCACCAACAACTGCTTCAGGTGACGCAGCAGGGCTGGGGAGTGAACCCAGACCCTCAGTGTCTCTGGCTTAGTGAACCCCACTGAGAGAGAGACACCCAGACCCAGGGAGTGAACCCAGACTCTCAGCGTCTCTGGCTTAGTGAACCCCACTGAGAGAGAGACACCCAGACACAGGGATTGAACCCAGACTCTCAGTGTCTCTGGCTAAGTGAACCCCACTGAGAGAGAGACACCCAGACCCAGGGATTGAACCCAGACTCTCAGTGTGTCTGACTTAGTGAACCCCACTGAGAGAGAGACACCCAGACCCAGGGATTGAACCCAGACCCTCAGTGTCTCTGGCTTAGTGAACCCCACTGAGAGAGAGACACCCAGACCCAGGGAGTGAACCCAGACTCTGTGTCTCTGGCTTAGTGAACCCCACTGAGAGAGAGACACCCAGACCCAGGGATTGAACCCAGACTCTCAGCGTCTCTGGCTTAGTGAACCCCACTGAGAGAGAGACACCCAGACCCAGGGATTGAACCCAGACTCTCAGCGTCTCTGGCTTAGTGAACCCCACTGAGAGAGAGACACCCAGACCCAGGGATTGAACCCAGACTCTCAGTGTGTCTGGCTTAGTGAACCCCACTGAGAGAGAGACACCCAGACCCAGGGATTGAACCCAGACTCTCAGTGTCTCTGGCTTAGTGAACCCCACTGAGAGACACCCAGACCCAGGGATTGAACCCAGACCCTCAGTGTCTCTGGCTTAGTGAACCCCACTGAGAGAGAGACACCCAGACCCAGGGATTGAACCCAGACTCTCCGTGTCTCTGGCTTAGTGAACCCCACTGAGAGAGAGACACCCAGACCCAGGGAGTGAACCCAGACTCTCAGTGTCTCTGGCTTAGTGAACCCCACTGAGAGAGAGAGACACCCAGACCCAGGGATTGAACCCAGACTCTCAGCGTCTCTGGCTTAGTGAACCCCACTGAGAGAGAGACACCCAGACCCAGGGATTGAACCCAGACTCTCAGCGTCTCTGGCTTAGTGAACCCCACTGAGAGAGAGAGACACCCAGACCCAGGGATTGAACCCAGACCCTCAGTGTCTCACCAGTGGTTAGCGCGACGCTGCGCTATGAACCCGGCGACCCGAGTTCGATTCCCGCTCACGTCCAACACCGGTGGTGACGATTATCTAAACTGGGCCTCCCCTAGGTCAACTCAGCCTCAAATGAGTACCTGGTGTAGCGGTGGTTGTGCAGTAAACATCGCCACTAGAGAGACAAAAGCGGCCGGGCGCGGTGCTGGTAACCCACCCCCTCGTGTGCCGAGTCGGCCTTCATAGGGGCTGCTAGAGGCTACACGAGGGACCTTTGTCTGTCTAACTAACTAACAACACTTGCCCCTACCGCCTGTTAGAGGCTACATGGGGGATCTTTGTGTCTAACTAACAACAACACTTGCCCCATCAGTCTATTAGAGGCTACCTGGAGGATCTTTGTCTGTGTCTAACTAACAACACTTGCCCATACAGCCTGTTAGAGACGACCTAGGGGATCTTTGTCTGTGTCTAACTAACAACACTTGCCCATACAGCCTGTTAGAGACTACCTGGAGGATCTTTGTCTGTGTCTAACTAACAACACTTGCCCCTACAGTCTGTTAGAGGCTACCTGGGGGATCTTTGTCTGTGTCTAATTAACTAACGACACTTGCCCCTACAGCCTGTTAGAGACTACCTGGAGGATCTTTGTCTGTGTCTAACTAACTAACAACACTTGGCCCTACAGCCTGTTAGAGACTACCTGGGGGATCTTTGTCTGTGTCTAACTAACTAACAACACTTTCCCCTACAGCCTGTTAGAGGCTACCTGGGGGATCTTTGTCTGTGTCTAACTAACTAACAACACTTGCCCCTACAGCCTGTTAGAGGCTACCTGGGGGATCTTTGTCTGTGTCTAACTAACAACACTTGCCCCTACTGCCTGTCCGAGGCTACCTCGGGGAACTTTGTCTGTGTCTAACTAACTAACAACACTTGCCCCTACAGCCTGTTAGAGACTACCTGGGGGAACTTTGTCTGTGTCTAACTAACAACACTTGCCCCTACCGCCTGTTCGAGGCTACCTGGGGGAACTTTGTCTGTGTGTCTATAATCCTCGCGTCGTGCTACGCCTCGAAACGTCGGGCAAACGCGAGGCATCCCACACTCGACCCCCTCCCCCCTTGCACTGCGTCCATGGCATGCGTGGTGTCACGTGTGGTGGCACGTGGTGTCACGTGTGGTGGCACGTGGTATCACGTGTGGTGGCACGTGGTGTCAAGTGTTGTGGCACGTGGTGTCACATGTGGTGGCACGTGGTGTCACGTGTGGTGGCACGTGGTGTCACGTGTGGTGGCACGTGGTGTCACGTGTTGTGGCACGTGGTGTTACGTGTGGTGGCACCTGGTGTCACGTGTGGTGACACGTGGTGTCACGTGTGGTGGCACGTGGTGTCACGTGTGGTGGCACGTGGTGTCACGTGTTGTGGCACGTGGTGTCACGTGTGGTGGCATGCGTGGTGTCACGTGTGGTGGCACCTGGTGTCACGTGGTGTGGCACCTGGTGTCACGTGTGGTGGCACGTGGTGTCACGTGTGGTGGCACGTGTGGTGGCATGCGTGGTGTCACGTGTGGTGTGTCACGTGTGATGTGTCACGTGTGGTGTGTCACGTGGCAGGGACACGATGATCACGAGCTGCATCAACTGCGTGACGTGGTGTGTCACGTGTGGTGTGTCACGTGTGGTGTGTCACGTGACAGGGATGCTATGATCACGAGCTGCATCAACTGCGTGACGTGGTGTGTCACGTGTGGTGTGTCACGTGTGGTGTGTCACGTGACAGGGATGCTATGATCACGAGCTGCATCAACTGCGTGACGTGGTGTGTCACGTGTGGTGTGTCACGTGACAGGGATGCTATGATCACGAGCTGCATCAACTGCGTGACGTGGTGTGTCACGTGTGGTGTGTCACGTGACAGGGATGCTATGATCACGAGCTGCATCAACTGCGTGACGTGGTGTGTCACGTGTGGTGTGTCACGTGTGGTGTGTCACGTGACAGGGATGCTATGATCACGAGCTGCATCAACTGTGTGACGAGCTTCTTCTGCGGCTTCGTCGTCTTCTCCGTGCTGGGCTACATGGCCCAGCGCCACGGGGTGCCCCTGCACAAAGTCGCCACCGACGGTCGGTCCCTCGCTCATTATCATACGCGCATACATTAGCATAAATTATAGCCGGTGGGAGGGGGGGCGAGAATAAATTATAATGATGTTCGTGCTCATTATCATACGCGCATACATTAGCATAAATTATAGCCGGTTGGGGCGGGGGGGGGCGAGAATAAATTATACCGATGTTCGTGCTCATTATCATACGCGCATACATTAGCATAAATTATAGCCGGTGGGGGGGGGGCGAGAATAAATTATAACGATGTTCGTGCTCATTATCATGCGCGCATACATTAGCATAAATTATAGCCGGTGGGGGTGGGGGGGCGAGAATAAATTATACCGATGTTTGTGCTCATTATCATACGCGCAGACATTAGCATAAATTACTGCGGTCCGAGTGTGGTTGTTGTTGTTGTGTAGTTGTTGTTGTTGTGTGGTTGTTGTTGTTGTGTGGTTGTTGTTGTGTGGTTGTTGTTGTTGTTGTGTGGTTGTTGTTGTGTGGTTGTTGTTGTGTGGTTGTTGTTGTTGTGTGGTTGTAGTTGTGTTGTTGTAGTGTGGTTGTTGTTGTTGTTTAGTTGTTGTTGTTTGGTTGTTGTTGTGTTGTTGTGTAGTTGTTGTTGTTGTGTGGTTGTAGTTGTGTTGTTGTAGTGTGGTTGTTGTTGTTGTGTAGTTGTTGTTGTGTAGTTGTTGTGTTGTTATTGTGTTGTTGTTGTGTAGTTGTTGTTGTGTAGTTGTTGTTGTTGTGTAGTTGTTGTGTTGTTGTGTAGTTGTTGTTGTGTGGTTGTTGTTGTTGTGTAGTTGTTGTGTTGTTGTTGCGTTGTTGTTGTGTGGTTGTTGTGTGGTTGTTGTTGTGTGGTTGTTGTTGTGTAGTTGTTGTGTAGTTGTTGTTGTGTAGTTGTTGTTGTGTGGTTGTTGTTGTTGTTGTTGTGTAGTTGTTGTGTGGTTGTTGTTGTTGTGGTTGTTGTTGTGGTTGTAGTTGTTGTTGTTGTGTAGTTGTTGTTGTCTTGTTGTTGTTGTGTGGTTGTTGTTGTTGTTGTGGTTGTGGTTGTTGTTGTGTAGTTGTTGTTGTGTTGTTGTTGTGGTTGTAGTTGTTGTTGTTGTGTTGGCTGTCCCAGGTGCTGGCCTGGTGTTTGTGATCTACCCCGAAGCTATCGCCACCCTGCCCATCGCTCCAGCCTGGTCACTCCTCTTCTTCATCATGCTCCTCGCCCTGGGATTAGACAGCGCGGTGAGAACTACTACTCACCAATTACTCACCAATTACTCACCAACTACTCACCAACTACTACTCACCACTCCTCTTCTTCATCATGCTCCTCGCCCTGGGATTAGACAGCGCGGTGAGAACAACTCACCAATTACTCACCAACTACTCACCAACTACTACTCACCAACTACTCACCACTCCTCTTCTTCATCATGCTCCTCGCCCTGGGATTAGACAGCACGGTGAGAACAACTCACCAATTACTCACCAATTACTCACCAATTACTCACCAACTACTCATCACTCCTCTTCTTCATCATGCTCCTCGCCCTGGGATTAGACAGCGCGGTGAGAATTACTACAACTCACCACCTACTACTCACCAATTACTACTCACCACCTACTACTCACCAATTACTACTCACCACCTACTACTCACCAAATACTACTCACCACCTACTACTCACCACTCCTCTTCTTCATCATGCTCCTCGCCCTGGGATTAGACAGCGCGGTGAGAATTACTACTACTCACCACTTACTCACCAACTACTCACCACCTACTACTCACCAATTACTACTCACCACCTACTACTACTACTCACCAACTACTCACCTACTACTCACCACCAACTACTCACCACTCCTCTTCTTCATCATGCTCCTCGCCCTGGGATTAGACAGCGCGGTGAGAACTACTACTCACCAATTACTCACCAATTACTCACCAACTACTACTCACCACCTACTACTACTCACCAACTACTCACCAACTACTCACCACCTACTACTCACCAATTACTACTCACCACCTACTCACCACCTACTACTCACCACCAACTACTCACCACTCCTCTTCTTCATCATGCTCCTCGCCCTGGGATTAGACAGCGCGGTGAGAATTACTACAACTCACCACCTACTACTCACCAATTACTACTCACCACCTACTACTCACCAATTACTACTCACCACCTACTACTCACCAATTACTACTCACCACCTACTACTCACCACTCCTCTTCTTCATCATGCTCCTCGCCCTGGGATTAGACAGCGCGGTGAGAATTACTACTACTCACCACTTACTCACCAACTACTCACCACCTACAACTCACCACCTACTACTCACCAATTACTACTCACCACCTACTACTCACCAATTACTACTCACCACCTACTACTCACCAATTACTACTCACCACCTACTACTCACCACTCCTCTTCTTCATCATGCTCCTCGCCCTGGGATTAGACAGCGCGGTGAGAATTACTACTACTCACCACTTACTCACCAACTACTCACCACCTACTACTCACCAATTACTACTCACCACCTACTACTACTACTCACCAACTACTCACCTACTACTCACCACCAACTACTCACCACTCCTCTTCTTCATCATGCTCCTCGCCCTGGGATTAGACAGCGCGGTGAGAACTACTACTCACCAATTACTCACCACTTACTCACCAATTACTACTCACCACTTACTACTCACCACCTACTACAACTCACCACCTACTACTCACCAATTACTACTCACCACCTACTACTCACCAATTACTACTCACCACCTACTACTCACCACCTACTACTACTACTCACCACCTACTACTCACCACTCCTCTTCTTCATCATGCTCCTCGCCCTGGGATTAGACAGTGCGGTGAGAACTACTACTCACCACTTACTACTCACCACCTACTACTCACCAACTACTCACCACTCCTCTTCTTCATCATGCTCCTCGACCTGGGATTAGACAGTGCGGTGAGAACTACTACTCACCACTTACTACTCACCACCTACTACTCACCTACTACTCACCACTCCTCTTCTTCATCATGCTCCTCGCCCTGGGATTAGACAGTGCGGTGAAAACAACTCACCAATTACTCATCACTTACTCACCAACTACTCACCACCTACTACTCACCTACTACTCACCACTCCTCTTCTTCATCATGCTCCTCGCCCTGGGATTAGACAGCGCGGTGAGAACTACTACTCACCACTTACTACTCACCACCTACTACAACTCACCACCTACTACTCACCAATTACTACTCACCACCTACTACTCACCAATTACTACTCACCACCTACTACTCACCACCTACTACTCACCACCTACTACTCACCACTCTTCTTCTTCATCATGCTCCTCGCCCTGGGATTAGACAGCGCGGTGAGAACTACTACAACTCACCACCTACTACTCACGAATTACTCACCAACTACTCACCACCTACTACTCACCACTCCTCTTCTTCATCATGCTCCTCGCCCTGGGATTAGACAGCGCGGTGAGAACTACTACTCACCACTTACTCACCAATTACTCACCAATTACTCACCACTTACTCACCAACTACTCACCAACTACTCACCACCTACTACTACTCACCACTTACTCACCAACTACTCACCAACTACTCACCACCAACTACTCACCACCTACTACTCACCACTCCTCTTCTTCATCATGCTCCTCGCCCTGGGATTAGACAGCGCGGTGAGAACTACTACAACTCACCACCTACTACTCACCAATTACTCACCAACTACTCACCACCTACTACTCACCACTCCTCTTCTTCATCATGCTCCTCGCCCTGGGATTAGACAGCGTGGTGAGAACTACTACTCACCACCTACTACTCACCACCTACTACTCACCTACTACTCACTCCTCTTCTTCATCATGCTCCTCGCCCTGGGATTAGACAGTGCGGTGAGAATTACTACTACTCACCACCTACTACTCACCACCTACTACTCACCACCTACTACTCACCACCTACTACTCACCACCTACTACTCACCACTCCTCTTCTTCATCATGCTCCTCGCCCTGGGATTAGACAGTGCGGTGAGAATTACTACTACTCACCACCTACTACTCACCACCTACTACTCACCACCTACTACTCACCACTCCTCTTCTTCATCATGCTCCTCGCCCTGGGATTAGACAGCGCGGTGAGAATTACTACTCACCACTTACTCACCACTTACTCACCACCTACTACTCACCACTCCTCTTCTTCATCATGCTCCTCGCCCTGGGATTAGACAGCGCGGTGAGAACTACTACTACTCACCACCTACTACTCACCAATTACTACTCACCACCTACTACTCACCACTCCTCTTCTTCATCATGCTCCTCGCCCTGGGATTAGACAGCGCGGTGAGAACAATTACTCACCAATTACTCACCAATTACTCACCAACTACTCACCAATTACTCACCAACTACTCACCAACTACTCACCAATTACTACTCACCACTTACTCACCAACTACTCACCAATTACTACTCACCACTTACTCACCAACTACTCACCAACTACTCACCACCAACTACTCACCACCTACTACTCACCACTCCTCTTCTTCATCATGCTCCTCGCCCTGGGATTAGACAGCGCGGTGAGAACTACTACTCACCAATTACTCACCAACTACTCACCACCTACTACTCACCACTCCTCTTCTTCATCATGCTCCTCGCCCTGGGATTAGACAGCGCGGTGAGAACAACTCACCAATTACTACTCACCACTTATTCACCAACTACTCACCAACTACTCACCACCAACTACTCACCACCAACTACTCACCACTCCTCTTCTTCATCATGCTCCTCGCCCTGGGATTAGACAGTGCGGTGAGAACTACTACTCACCACTTACTACTCACCACCTACTACTCACCAACTACTCACCACTCCTCTTCTTCATCATGCTCCTCGCCCTGGGATTAGACAGTGCGGTGAGAACTACTACTCACCACTTACTACTCACCACCTACTACTCACCTACTACTCACCACTCCTCTTCTTCATCATGCTCCTCGCCCTGGGATTAGACAGCACGGTGAGAACAACTCACCAAATATTCATCACTTACTCACCAACTACTCACCACCTACTACTCACCTACTACTCACCACTTATTCACCAACTACTCACCAACTACTCACCACCAACTACTCACCACCAACTACTCACCACTCCTCTTCTTCATCATGCTCCTCGCCCTGGGATTAGACAGCGCGGTGAGAACTACTACTCACCACTTACTACTCACCACCTACTACAACTCACCACCTACTACTCACCAATTACTACTCACCACCTACTACTCACCAATTACTACTCACCACCTACTACTCACCACCTACTACTACTACTCACCACCTACTACTCACCACTCCTCTTCTTCATCATGCTCCTCGCCCTGGGATTAGACAGCGCGGTGAGAATTACTACTCACCAATTACTCACCAATTACTACTCACCACCTACTACTCACCAATTACTACTCACCACCTACTACTCACCACCTACTACTCACCACCTACTACTCACCAATTACTACTCACCACCTACTACTCACCAACTACTACTCACCACTCTTCTTCATCATGCTCCTCGCCCTGGGATTAGACAGCGCGGTGAGAACCACTACTCACCACTTACTCACCAATTACTCACCAATTACTCACCAATTACTCACCACTTACTCACCAACTACTCACCAACTACTCACCACCTACTACTACTACTCACCACTTACTCACCAACTACTCACCAACTACTCACCACCAACTACTCACCACCTACTACTCACCACTCCTCTTCTTCATCATGCTCCTCGCCCTGGGATTAGACAGCGCGGTGAGAACTACTACAACTCACCACCTACTACTCACCAACTACTCACCAACTACTCACCACCTACTACTCACCACTCCTCTTCTTCATCATGCTCCTCGCCCTGGGATTAGACAGCGCGGTGAGAACTACTACTCACCACTTACTCACCAATTACTCACCAATTACTCACCACTTACTCACCAACTACTCACCAACTACTCACCACCTACTACTACTCACCACTTACTCACCAACTACTCACCAACTACTCACCACCAACTACTCACCACCTACTACTCACCACTCCTCTTCTTCATCATGCTCCTCGCCCTGGGATTAGACAGCGCGGTG